GGAGCATGAACTATCAATTTAATCCGGGGCTTCGCCCCGCAATAAGATATCCCCTTTGCTTTTCCAGCCAAAAGGATTTCCCACCTGTCATTTGCCCACATTGTGCCAGGCACTGCTCTCGTTGCACGGGAGCAATCAAGAATGGAAAAACACTTATAGCTTCCTTCATTCACGTAATCTTTTCATAATTTTTCATATCTTTTCCTATCGTCGCAAAGCCATACACCAAATTTGATGGCTTAATATTGCTTAGGCAGGCGCTTTACTCCTCGAGGAATATAGCATGGCGGCGATCGATATGCATCAAATACTTGTAAAACCGGCTATTTTTGTCGCCGATATTGGCGATCGTCAGTCGTAGCGACTGGCGATCTTCAGTCGCCAGTGTTGGCGACTACACATTAGATGTGTATCGATTAACCGTGTGGTAACTTGTTAGCGATCGATACGCATAGGAGACACAGTCGCCAGTGTTGGCGACTACACATTAGATGTGTATCGATTGGACGTGTGGTAACTTGTTAGCGATCGATACGCATAGAAGACACAGTCCGACTGGCGATCGCCTGTCGCCATGTTATACTCCTCGAGGGGTATAGCGCCTGCCTTAGTCGTTGTAAATAACTGATTTTTAATCTTCTTTGTGCATAAAGATCATGTTTTAACACGTTGGCTGTTTGAACACAAGTTGGTGCACTGATCGTGTTTGTAACATGTTGATTGACCTGTTAGTGGTTGAATGACGTAAGTGCCTCAAGTTCTGGCTTATATTGTACCAGTGCGTCACCTCTGCTTCGCAGAGGCTCGCACTGGCCATATTTTCTGTATGCCTTACTCATTCCCGCCTAATAATGACATTAAAACTCACCGCGCTATGTAGGCTATCACGAATAATTCGTGAACAACTGCTCATCGTAGAGGTTTTCCATGTGAAATCAGTGTTTTCGCGTGGATAAAATCTTTCCCAAAAGAACAGATGCAAATTCGAATAGGTTTTTGGAATTTTTATGGCTTGGAAGTCGCCGTAAGGACAATAAACATAGCGGGCTACATCTCTGTGCAAAAATATTCTCAAATGATCAGGTAAAATCTTGAAAAATTGACCATTTACACGGCGAATGCTTTTTGGCGCTATTTTCGTAGAGTAGTAGACTTTTCGTTACTTTTATAGGCTAAAACGTCCATGGCTTGCACATTAGCTTGTCAAATATATCCTCAACTCTGCAAAAAGTAATACCACGGTCCCAAATTTGCTGGCCAGAAGTTAAGTGGATCCGTTTGACGCGCAATTTCCAATGGATCCACTCAACGGATCCGCTCATGCTTTTGTATAGTGAACTTTGCTGATAGCGTGCGCTATGCAAAATTTGGGCTCAGGACGTTGGCTGGTACACGCTCTACGAATTTCGTGACAGACAGAGATTCACACACAGACAGACAGACAAACGTAAACAACCCTTAGCCCGTTATTATAAGTTATGATCTTTGTGTAAGAACTGTTCTTGCAATCCTATCAGATCCGAACCCCCCCCCCCCCTAAGAAATCTACGGTTTTCCTTTTACTTCTCCCCCTAAAAACGATATCCAGCATGTGATAGCGCCACCTCTGCTGAGCCCTCTCTGGTAATATGCAACTTGTTTGCAATGGCTTTGGAAGTTCTGACCATTTCTTCGAGAGCTGGTGCAAAATAATGTCCGTGTAAAGTTTCACTTTGTCCAGGCCTCATATTTTTGAATGTAGTTAAGATCTCCAGAAACAGTGAAATTTTCATAACACAGCGCGCGCCTGCTCATGCCGATATCGCAAACGTGACCAACAACCATGCCTCAAAAACCGAAACTTCTTCTTTTGATACCTCGTTCTTTGAAGATATAATTCCCTTAAATTTTTGATCTTAGGATGGCAATCAGTTTAATTTGTAGCTGCTAACTAGTAGCGTGCATTGAAAAGGCTATAGCGAAATAATCTTGCGTAAGGAAAAAATCCAAAATTGTTCACTTTTGAGCGTATTTGTGGTAGCCCCGGAAGTCCCAAATTATGGAAATCTGAAATCTCAAACTTGCAAAAACGAGCAAATCTTTGCAGAAATTTTTGACCCATAGAATGCCAGTCGTGAGTACTTCTAAAGTGTCGATTTCTCACCAACTACTTTCAAAGAAATTTGAATGCTCTTTTATCTTTGAATCTGGGCATAAAAGGATGTTGGCGATGAAGTCTCCACCGCAGAATCTGATTGGCAAACACAATACTTACTGATACTTTCAAAGAATTTACTTAAGTATGCAGTAGGTAAACGATATTCATTCTATAGAAAAGCCACGTCTTCGATGAAAGCATCGAAATCTTGATTTGGGTGTGCAAAATGCTGTTGATATTCATACAGATAAGGGTAAAAGCTTAATCGAACTTTTCTTGGAAAGCACATTAAGAAAGCTCTCCAATGATATGTAATTCTGCATCGGAAAAGAAAGTCTGGAAAATACTTGTTCGTTAAATGGGTCTAGAAAAAGACACTATTTTTGCACCAATCTAATAAAATTGAATGACATATGGGCGAACGCAATCACGACCTCAAATAAAACCTATCGCATCAACCTTTTTTAAATAGAAAAAAGTAGAATATATATCTTAGTTTCATACTTTTTGAAGACTTATCTACCAAAGCGAACGTCAAGAGGGGAAGCATCCCAAAAATTTTTCGTAACTGCCGCACGCTTTCGGTCGAAGAAGGTTTTTTTCAGCGTCTCCAAAAAATTCTGGGAAGGCATTGCTACCTATATACTCCCGTTAATTTTTACTCCAGAAAATCCTTAGTCCCGGATGAATTCATACGGCATATGGGGAAGTCGACTGTAGCTCCGCAAACATGGCATGAGGCTCACATCAAGTCGTATTTAGTAGAGCAACTGATTGACAAAACAAGCCATTTTCGAATAGAGTGCCGTTGTCTGAAGTTTTACAAATCAGAATTCGTGTAGGGAACAAAAACAGGGTGAAAGAAAAACCACCTCAATTAGACACCGCCTCGCGGGCTGCTTCGTCTTACTGTTCTGCATCCTGTTGGGTCCACTAGTCCGCAAAGGCGGTGCCTAATCAAGATGTCCGTTCCTCCATCCTAAAAAATAGAAACACTTTTTTTCACACATCACCGAAAGAAGATGCTCTTTCAGAAGTTACAGCTTGTTTTTGTGTCTATAGCATGCTATCTACATTACAAAATCACGACTGAAAGAAAATCCACATTCTTTTAACAGAGCGCTCGCACATTTCGAATAAGGAACAGTCGAGAAAACGAACTTTTCAAAAGCTCTTGGGTTCTTCAAAGACGTCTCAATAAATTTCATAAGAAGCTGATTAAGTAAAGCAAGCAAATAGACCGAAACTCTTGGCTCCATAGACCACAAATGTTAACTCGTCGCATTTTAATTGGACCGACCAAGAAGCTAATAAGGCGAATTAACAGACTTAAAAGCTATCAAATGATAAATGGCACCCATAACGAAATAATTTGATTGTGGTGTATTGCACATTATCCCAAAAAACACTGTACAAGAAAACCCTGAATAGAGCGTCGTTAGCGGTCTACGTGATCGCTTTCTACAGAACACCCAGGTGTAGAAGTATGGTACTTCTATGTTTTCATGGCGTGATAATGAAGTGCACATGCTGTCACATGTGCCAATTACTTTTCTGTTCAACTAATATTACTGACAACGTGTATGCATCCAGTGGGGTGGGGGTATACTATATGTCCAGCATTTCTATCTGTTTCCCTCTATTTGTCTGCAATGCAAATTACATTATATTGTGACAAGAAATAAGCCTCCTGCTAAAAAGTGCAACAGCGCACAAAAGAGCACCATAAAAGGGAGATTCGCTGGCGTAGTGCTCTAAACCGCTTCAGAAAGTGCAAGTTTCGAAGTAAATTACCTGATTAAAATTGACTTTGCTGAGATTTGAATCGTTTGAAATCATTCCAGGAGTTCTTTTGGCCCCTGGAAACTTTGGTCCCAAAAAGCAGACAGCTAAAATTTTACATGGTCGTTGATGTGTTAAGTAAATTCTGCATAACTAAGGTCAAGCATTTTTCGTTTTTTAAATGGACAGATGCAGATTGCTCAAATAATGAAACAATTTAGCGGTTAAAACTCCTTGAAAATTTGAAGCATTCATAAAGGCTTGCATGTGGTTTTTTGTGGTTGTTTCCAAGTTCTAAGAATCTTTCGCATTCATATGTTATCTGAGGCTTTTATTGATCAAAATAGAATAGTGTAAGAAACACGTATGAAGGTTCCTGCCGGGAAGCTTTTCGTTATTCGAGCACCAAAAGTCGGGTGCCATGATATAACCACTTTTTTCCCTTTTCTCACCTGTCTGGTAAACCTTAGAATGCATCGAAAATTTGTTAGAATCCGAGCCCTAAAATATCAGCGCAAGTAATCTGTGGCTTTTATGCCAGACCCTGCTCCGTTATCAATTTTGCGATATAAAAGCATTGAAGTAAACTCAGGACTGCATGCTTTACAGTGAAGAAAATTAGATAAAAAAGGATTAACATGGATGCAGCTGTGTTTAAATCAGTAGATAAGAGTATACTCATTGTAAAGGCTACTGCATGACAAAGGCGCAGAAGCGGTATCACTTGGGCGGGAATGGGCGCGGCGCGCGCGTATTTTCACCATTATAAAACCTGCGTCTCATGCGCTTTGCGGCTAATAAAGCCGCGTTTGCGCTTTGCGCCCAAAGGTATTGCGCCTTCGTATTGCGCCTTCCTATTGCGCCTTCGGCAGCAGCCTTTAAATGGTAGGGTGGTGGGATAAGAGCTACCAAAAATGCTTATTTCATCACATAGTTTTCTACAGGGATGATTGAGAGAAATGCAAAATAAATCACTTGAGTTTGTTAGACCCCGGGCATATCTCGCACGACTTTAATTGCCACACGATAGCGGCCGATTTCTTTGAATTTAACGTGAAGTAAAAGAAATAAAATGACTATGCCCAAATTTTTATTCATCATTGATACAACTTTTGAGATTGAGGAAGTGGCTGAGACAACTTCACGGTGATTACGGTAGTAGCCTGCTCGCGTAACGAACGCGAGATATCGCGGAAGTTTACTATATGCCGACGTACTTCAGGGTTGAAAACGATGAGAATAACACTGCAATGTAGATTAAATAGATAGTAGATAGACAGCGTATTAAGTAAATAGATAGTGTAGTATACTTAACTTAACGAACTTACCCTCCAAAAGTGTGAGAAAGTCCCCAAACCAATGTTGTGCAAAGAAATAACTGAAAATTCGTCGAAACTGAAGGTGCTACAAGGTGAAAGCATAGCAGCATGAAGGCGTACATTAGCGAATTTACAAACGTCTGAAAAATTGTAGGCAAGTTTAGAGAGCTCTAATTGTGAAACTTCAACGTTTAGCTTCTCAGCACTGATCCTTTCGTGGTAATATGATGACTTTTGCGACTTCTCAGCTTAAATGTCAAAATGTTGTAAAAAAACAAAATGACGTAAATATTTCAACAATGTAAGAAAGTTTTCTGTAAAAGCATCACTGCACAGTCTCTAAAGCGGATCGAACTGCGCCCTAACTGTAGAAATATGATGCAATGTATGTCCTCAGTTATAAAAATGGTCAGGCAAAAACAAATCTTTTGCAAGATGGAAAGAAGCAGCGCAGGCGTATGTCTTGCTGACGCTCAAAAAAGCGACCACTTCACGAGACTTCAAAGGCAGTGGCTCGGCAAATCTTGACCCAGCAAATTCTCGCTTACCTAGAGTTATCCAATGCGCTGATCCCAGAAATCCTCTTTGAATAGCTTAAAAATGACCAAAACGAGCGTTTATCTATGCCTTTCGTTTGAAATTGGACGAGTGGAGCAAGGCCGAAGGCGTTGAATTGTTGTGGGAGCAACGGTTATAATGTTGCGGCAAGCAGCCACACTAATGAGAAGGGAATTGCTAACTCGTCCAAGCGCATTCAAGATAAGCTTGGCGTGTAATTTTGAGGGCAATTTTGTCGGCAGGGAGGGCATGCTGTGCGAACGAAATTGCACTGTTTTCATACCAGGGTGATAAGCAACCTACAGTGCCAAAACCCTGCGTTGTTGAGTTTTGCCGATCCACTGCCTTTAAATAAAGAAATTCTCATCTGTCGTAGAAGGCAGATTCTATAGGGATTTGTATATTTCTCGGAATCCCAGAAAAGATGCATGGTGAAGTTTATATGAGCTAAAGTCACCATTATGCATCTGACGATAGTAACTATCTGTATAACTAAAAGATAACTAAAAGATTTTCATAGAAAATCATAAAGTCTCATTACTACCCAGAAGATCTCAAATTGAGCTGATTTGCTATTATTATGATTTATAATGAAGCGCTCGAAAATTGTAGAGCCTGCAGAATAAGTATTGGCCCAGAATATTTCACCCTGCGCAATGGCGAATAGATCCGATGCACGAGTCCTTCGAAAACGGCATCTAGAGTGGACTCAGCTCTGGCGCGCAAAACTGGATCGCTGATTTGACATTTTTGCCACGTCAGGTATTGTCTGACAAAGCGAGCCATGCATTTTAGTTCAAAAATGCGTAAAAGATGTGTTTTTCTGCTAAAACAGCGCCAAAAAGGATTGCTTGCTTAAAAGTCAACTAGTCAAGGTTTTACCTAATAAATTAAAAAGAAGAATGAGAATGAGCAGTTGTTTACAATTCATTTGTAATTTTTATCATTCAGTGAGTTTTAGAGTCATCATGCGATCACGATGAAGACTTATACGGACATTACAGTTAGTGGCCTCTGCGAAGCAGAGGTGACACGCTGGTGATATACACGTCTGCAAACAACTATTGTACCTGTGTAAACAATAGCAACTCTTTTCTTCGTCGTTTTGAAGATATATCGTTGTTCTGCTTGTCATCTATTTGCACTGAGCGAGATAGCATGCTCTGAAAGTTTACGCGAATAATGACGGCCGCGTTTTTATCAACCTCATGACTTATATCAGTCTTTCCAATTGAATTTCGCTTTTTTCAGCATGCGCAACATTTGGCGAACAGAGATCCTCAAAAGCTTTTGACTGCATTCGATGCATTCATCCCTTTCAATGCTGGCCTCCTAATTCTACTTCAATCAACGAACCCTCAGGAGATAACCAAAGACTACAACTTATGGTTTTCATGGTCAAGCTTTGCCAATTTTCTAAATCTTTAGACCACACCTACGAAGATCAAGTCCATGGCTAGAGCAAACCTTACGGGATAGAAAGCAACTTTGCTTTTCCTTATGTTGTCATGAATATTTGTAGATAATTTACTAAACCACCAAAATTCAGCAGGACATATCCCAAGGCAGTGTCCAAGTAACTAATAAATAGCTAAATCTGCAGTATACGCCTGCATTTCAAAATTTTTAAAATTATATATTTAATGCTATCAAACTGCATACTTGGTTTACTGAGATTTCTCATAACAAGAACCAAAGAGCAAATTGGGTGTCAATTGACGCAGTTTTTCCTCCTCTTTCTGAAAGTTTTGTTTCCATTTTGTAAAATCTTCAAGGATAAAATTATAACAATTCAAGTTTTTGAACACGCTTCAGGCTGTACCACAAGAATTCAGGATTTGATATATCAAAAACGCTTGTTTTGTTGAATTAGTGCTAATTCATGATCCATTTCTGAAAGTTTCAAATCTCGAAGATTTATTGGAATTATGAAGTAAGAAGACGAGAAAAAAGTTGCTTTTAATCTGTAAAGTTGGCTCTAGCCATCGGCTACTATTCGTGGGTATGGTATAGGAATTTAGAATATTAGCGAAACTTGAGAGTTATGTGTTGTGTTTTTTTTTCGTTGTTTTCTTAGAGCTCGTGATCCGCTAGAATGATGAGGCCAACATTTGAAAAAGGATAAAAGCCGTTTCGAACGTGGCCGAAAGCTTTTGACGATCTTTGTTCAGCGGAATTTCGCTCGTTTTATAAAAAAGCGAGTTCACTTGGGTATGACCTAATAAAATAAAATATAGGCAAATTGCTATTTTCAATTGCTTTATTAATGAAGCGTCATACTAGATTATATATTCTGGCTATTCATTCTGGTACTAACTTATTTTTCAGAAAACTGGGGGAGGAGGTCGGTTAACTCAAAAACAGAGTTCAATTTTCAATCTTATTCTCATGTAGGTTCTTTTGCCACTGCGCCAATCTTCATCGGAAGTGGCTGTTGCACTGGTATTGTTTGCCCTTACATTGCCTTGTTTTACAAAAATTACCTTTACTTTTTAATGCATGCTTGCTTACAATCGTTTTTGCTCCTAAATCTTAGGAACACAAAGTTGGTATGTATTGTTTTCAAGCTTTTCATCAAACCATGGAGAAGCAGATGAGTTGATTACTGTCTGTCAAAACAAGAAAAACGAACCCTTGTTGTTGACTTTAGCTGAATCAAAGTAGCGATATCGATGATAATGATTGTTAGAAAGAGAAAGACATTATAGCACATGTCAATATAGAACGATATCCAGACACTGCAAGGATCGCTTCCAAATGACCATACGCCATTTTCATGGTCAAAATAGAAGTCGCAACCGGCTGAGGTGAATAAACTTATGTTGAATACTCATAATGATTGTGATATTAACGAAAGCATACCTTTGAAGTAGACGCTAGTATACGCAGCACTGAGGACAGAGACAAAAATGACGATGCCCATAGTTGTAGCATTAGTAAAAATTCGTCTATATAACAATGGGAAGTTAATAGCCATTAGTCTGCAGTACGCTCGCTATTTTTTTCAAAATGATTTAATTCAGCTTTTACACCTGTTTATAGACACGAATAAACAGCAGTGAAAAGCCGTTTCGAAGAAAAATATTGAGAGTTGTCCAACTCGCAAATTTAATGTTTGTAGCTGTTGAGGTACCATTCTGAATACTCTGTTATGACGCTAATGCTTGATAAAAAAAAACATTGTGATCTTCTTGAAAAGATTACAACGTGAAATATAAACAGAAATTGAAATAAATCACTTTCCTTCTTACCTATTCCGCATCCAACAGCACAATAACTAATTTGGAGTTATTTTCATAAATCAATGGTTTTTCTGGTATCAATTTTATGGCGCTGAATCAACATTGTGGTCTAGCTAGAGCTAGGCACCGATTTCGACGGCAGTTTTTACTGCAGAATGATTGGGAATTTCAAGTTAAGAAGTATAAGGGTGAAAGAATGTCCATCATGTTGAGAGAATTCACGCCGTCAAATTTCCCGCGCGAGTCTAACGCAATTATGCGTTCAAATTCGGGAAGTAATGGCGAATTAGCAGGACCTTATATACTTTTAAAAATTTGAACTGACAAAAGCAAAGCGCATGAGACTGTTGTCATAGATACTTTAAATATAAGCTTTCAGCTACAAAGAGCTAAAAGTAGTGGTTCCGTTTGCAGATTTTTTGCAAATTCAAAATTTGGTCGACGCAGGCAATGTGCGCAGTTGACGTAATGTCCAGCACCCTTCAATGAATGAGGTCTTGCCAGTTCCTTTTGCAAAGTATGACTTCAATGCGAAATGTTGCGGGCATAAACAAAGGATCATTAGTGGCATTGTAAGTTGACTGGTGCTTGATTGTATATTACTAATAGAATAAATTCTTTCCTAACTAAGTTGTAACCTGGCAGTGACAAACATTCGGAAACGGATAATACACATAGAGCACTCGTAGTTTGTAAAGTTTTTACCTTTTTTGGACTGCAGATAAGGCAAAGTAATGCAGAAATATTCAAATTTTTAGATACGGATCTTATTTGATATATCGTATACAAATCCACTTACAGTAGCGTCCACGGCACTGCCCAGAATACAAAGATAAGTAATATAGCAAAATTACAGAACGCATGGTAAGCTGCAAGATAGCCAAACGGATTACGAAAGGATCTGTGCCGGATAAGCACCAAAAATGATAATAAATTGCAGACCAGACCAATCACGGTTGTCTGAATGCTGATGTCTGATATCTTACAAATCTACTATGATATGAGCAACAATTTGAAAAATGTATCAAATGGTCAACAATACACCAATCTATCATATGATTAAACTTAGGACGCATGTGTTTGCCAAAAAAATGTGGTTTATAATCTTTCTCACGAGTGGAAGTTTAGTTTATGAGACTTAAGAAAAGCAAGAACCTACCGCCAACAGAAGACATCCTTCCAAGATTCTTCCGTCCGCGCTTTGAAATGTCGAGTTTTCCATGTTTCCTTCGTAATGCTTGAACCTTTCACCACGCCAAATATTCAACGGCGGTGAAGGAGCTTTATAAAGGCTTAAGATTTTTATTCACGAGAAGTTCCTGTAGAAATGTTGACTCTGAACAACGGGGGTTGGACGACTATGAGTAAGGGCCAGCTGCACAGTTGTTTTCTGCAAGTAAAAATCTAACAAGGGAAGGATACTGATCGCAGTGACGATTGGGTAAGCGGTGTATACCGCGTATACCGCCCCCAGACGGTGATTTCTAAACCGCATTCCATATCTGCTATGACGTCATTCTGGAGGAGCTATAAAGGATCTTTGGTGCAACGGATAGTGGCTTGGGCTGCGGAGCTGGACGTCGTGGGTTCGATTCTTCTGGGATGCCACCCGTTTTGCATTTTTGTAGATTTTAACAGGCAAGTTCCAAAACCTGTCGACATCAAAAAAAAAGTTGATTTTCACAGTATGAAGCAATATATTTCCATTTATTGGCATTAAACCACGTCTAAGCTAAAAACACTCGTTTTTAGCATTTTTCATTGAATACTTTACTCAATTTTACATTGAAAAATTCCGAATTTTTGCTTAACAGAGAGAGTAACAGCTAACCTGTTAAAAATGGAGTCTTTATCGAGTTTTTGATGCACAATATGTTGATCAACTGCAATGCTCTGTCCACAACTGGTCACCTCTTACCGAGTGTTTTTAGGTTAGACCACAGGTGCGATAGTGTGAGAATTTTCTCACCCTCCCTTCACCCCTGAGCCGGGACCAAGATGACCCCTTCACCAAAAGCCGAAAAAAATAATCAACAGTGAGGTAAGGTTAAGCAAGGAAGATAATTGTACGTGAATTGTCTATGTATAGGAAAGGAGGAGTCTGCTGAAAAAAGGCTTGGTGACGGGTGTGAGTGATGATTTCTGGAGATTTTCGAGTTTTCAACATAAAATAATTCATAACTTCTGTAGTTGAACATCTTGTACGCCTTGATGGTCACCATTGGAACCGCTCCGTCCTCCGCTTTCAGATTGATGAACATATTGTACGCCGAGATGGTCACCATTAGAAGCACCTCGTCCTCCGCTTTCAGAAAATATATACTTTGCCAGGGGTCCATTAGAAAAAGTGCCGGGTGAAGGGTGGGTGAGACTTTTATAATGGGAGTGCTCAAGTACAGGCTTTTTTACCATTGTAAAAAGACGTCTACTTGAGCACTCCCATTATAAAAGTCTCACCCACCCTTCACCCGGCACTTTTTCTAACGGACCCAAGGCAGTGTATATATTTTCTGAAATCGGAGGACGAGGCGCTTCTAATGGTGACCATTTCGTCGTACAAGACGTTCATCTACAGAAGTTATGAATTTTTTTATGTTAAAAACTCGAAAATCTCCAAAAATCACTAGGACACCCTTCACCCAGGCTTTTTCATCGAACCTCAGGCAAAGTACATACTGTCTAAAAGCGGAGGAGGAGACGGTTCCAAAGGTGACCATCGCGGCGTATAAGATGTTCATATACAGATGTTACGGATTTTTCTAACCTAAAAACTCGTAAATATCCAGAAATCACTATCCACACTCTTCACCAGACACTTTTTCAATAGACTCCAGGCAGGCTATACATTCTCTGAAAGCGGAAGACAAGATAGTTGTAAAAACCTTTTCATTGCTGGCGTTGCTGTTCATCTACAGAAATTACGAATTTCTTCTAAAAATTCGTAAAAGCTTGAAAATTGTACCTCTTTCCCGAAACAGATGTTCTCGCATACACATCTTCTATGGTATTTTTGAAAACATATAAAGTTGTTCCAATTCTATCAGTTTTCACATTTTGGTAAAAAGACAACCAATGATGGCAGAGAATTTGATATGATGAACTTTTATTTGGAAAATAAGAAAACACCATTACCTTCTTCTCTCTCCCCCCCCCCCACCTCGGTCGGCATTTTATGATTTTTCGATCAACTGAAACACCCTTCACCCTGGAGGGACTGCGACCACTGTGACTCCCTTCACCCTGAAGGAGTCATTCTCACCTTATCGCACCTGTGGGTTAGACGTTGGTTCAGTGCCAATAAATGTAAATATGTTGCTTCATATTGTGAAAATCAACTTTTTTGATGTCGACAGGTTTTGCAACTTGCCTGCTAAAATTTACAAAAATGCAAAACGAGCGACATCCCAGAGGAATCGAACCCGGCGACGTCAGCTCCGCAATTCAAGCCACTATCCACTGCACCAAAAATCCTTTATAACCCCTTTAGAATGACGTCATAGCAGTTATGAAATGCGGTTTAGAAATCACCGTCTGGGGACGGTATAGCGGGATACACCGCTTAAACAATCGTCACTGCGATCAAGTATCCTTCCCTTGTAAGAAGTCAGAAACCAAAGTAAGCGCCATCGAATTTTTGACGATTCGAGTTTGAGAGGGATATATAGACGCAAATTGTATTTGCACTGAGTTGGAAATCTTTATCGAAACTTACCAGAGATCTGCTTAATAGTTTCAAACAAATGACATACATTACTGTGCACACAAACAAATAAATTACGGGGATCACCAAAATAATCGCCGAAATCTCATATCGACGGCTTTTGCTACCAAGTTCGACAATTTTTCAAAAATCGTCTCAATTTCTGGAAGAGCTATGATGAAGAGCTATATAACAGATGGTTAGAATAAGCAAAGTGCAATGCAAAAATATTTCTAGGCATCTCCAACTAGCTTTTCAGCATCTTCCAAGATGATTTTCTTTTAGAAGTCTTCCCTTTTGCAAAGTCGTGTGGAACGCGAAATCACTCGAAATTCAAATGTACCAAAATCCGATTACCATTCAACACTAATTTCACAAACCAAAGGAATGTTTACCGCTTCGAACTATTGAATTCTGAAGTATTGGATACAGCCACAAACGCGTCCAAAATTTTACATTCAGGATGATTTCATCCTCAAGGTTCCCATATTATGAACAAAAAACGCCTATCAGAAAGGGGAAAAAAGCTGCACAGAACATTAACCGAGTTGCCTGTCGATTGATGGTCTGGGAGATACCTGTCTAAACATGGATTTTGTTAACATCAGAAGAGTAATTTTGATGTTCTAAAAAGCTAGTTGAAGATGCCGAACAAATTTATACTGTTGTATTCTGCTTTATTCAGCTATTATTCTTCTGTAGTTCAAAATAGAAAATTGTGAAAGTAGATTTGATTTCAAATGATTTTGGGGTCACCTTTCCTCATTTTCCTTTTTATGACAGTTTGAAAGAAACGGAAACACATTTGGGAGCGATCCATCAAGATCGAGGCTTATTCGAGCACGAAGAAAAAATCTGAAAACTTGATAAAGTTGAACAAGGTGGAAATGATGGACTGGAAACATCGTGGACTCACTGAGCGCAAAAAAATACGAAGAAACAGCTGTTGGAAACAGCAAGAAATTTGGCATCGGAAATTTAAAATGTTGGCCTACTTTTGCTTTATCCAGTTCGCAGATGAAAAACCATAGAAAACTGAAAGTCCTCATTTTTGTGTAAACATTCGATCAGCATACCCCTGTTTAGGAAATGATCATGTGATATGTATTGCTGACTATCATGACTTATAATAAGCGGCTTAATTTGAAGTTGTGTGGAGTTTGTCCGTTACGAAATTACAGTGAGGAATGATTTACGATACTAAATATCATGTGAGGTTAAGATAGCGAGTATGGTTCATTTTTAACTACAGCTCACGTTGCAATAAACCGAACAATGATTTGAGAGATAAGCTCTCAGAAAGCGGGTTTACCACGGTTCACGATGCCAGTGCGAACCTCTGCGAAGCAGAGGTGAAGCACTGGTTAAAGTTAACGCAGCTCAATTTAGTATTAGCTTGAAGTTTGCGAGATTTGCGGACTATTGTTGTGCATAGTCTGCGCCCGGCACGGGACAAACATGAGGTAAGATCATTAGCTTAAATACATGCGTAATTAAATTGCATCATTGATAATTTGCGTTCCCGTTCCTTTATATGTAGGTACGGTAGCCGGTAGGAAATATGTATGTCAGTTCCGTGCTGCTCGTCTCATTACTGACTATTTTCTAGTGATCTTGGCGACAGGATTCCCACAAAGTCGGGGAATCCTGTCGCCAAGATCACTAGAAATCATATGGCTGACCTTTCAGATTACTATTAAATGATGAACTGCGAAAATCATAACTTAGAAGTTCTTGAAATTTATACAATAAGCAGCTCATCTTTGTAAAGAAGCTCAAAAGCAAACAATCGCAACAATGATCTAGTACAAGACTAATCATGACGTACATTCTTTAGTTCACTTATAACATAAATCAACGCACCAAAACTTTTCAGATAGTCGCTAAAAAGCGAGGTTTTTAATAAAGATTCTCAAAGCTGACCAAATAACAACTGAGGCAAAGAAAACAATAATAGTGATGAACGATGATAGATCAGCGCCTAGACGTAGAACTACAGACTCTGATATTTTATTAACTTGAAGTAACCATTAGGGAGCGCTGTTGTTTTGTTGATCTCAATTAACCTTGAACGAACACCAAAGATTCTTGGATGCGTAGCATCACGTAATAAAAATAGTGATCTATTTGAGAGGACACATGGGACGTGTGGTAACTATTCTGTGTTAAAGACATGTTATGCGTAACGGGTTCGTATTGAGTACTTTATACTTTTACGTTTCAGCCGGATGCCATCGTCAGGAATTGAGAATGATGAGCTTAGCCCAAAGGTGGCCGAATATCATTTTTGTCATAAAAGCTCTCCTTCCCATTTGTTCTCAAACGTGCCTAGTAGGTCTTCAAAATGAACAATCTTATTATTATAGAAGTGTGAGCAACTATTGTTTTGAGTGCTTGTCAATGTGGTATACATGAAGAATAATACTATTTCAATAATGCTACACCACTCTGTCATTATTGCAGTCAATCCTATTATGTGCACGTTTCATAACTTAGGAACCTCTTTCAAGTGACCAGGGGATACAATTAAACTGAATTCATCCTGAGAAGCCTCTCCTCCTATGTATTTACTTACACCAGTTCACAGGCCTCTTACATTGGGATATGAATTTCGTTTGTCAGAAAGAAAAGTTAGAAGACTAGACAACAAAAGCAATTCAATAAGATGCCAGTATATTAACCATTCAGCTCCTCAATTCAATTTGACAACTATTCCAGTGGTCCAGTGGCGTAGATTTTACATTTATCACAAAAGAACAGCAAACTTAATGCTTCAAAACTAGCAAGTCTCGAGCTAAGCATACATTAAAAACGGTGTCGTTATGTGTGAACCTCCAACTGTGAAAACGACGATGTTGAAGACCACATTTTTGAACAATGCAAGTAAGTTTATGCTCTTATTATACAAAATGCATCAAGAACTCAAAATAAAGTAGTAGGGTATTGACGTGCAGCTGGTGCGATAGTAGTAGGATGTTGGCGCGCGGTAGACGCTGCTGAGATAGCATCCAGTGACTTTTTGAGAGTTCGGAAGTTGAGCAAATGTCGTCGAACTTGAGGATTGAAAGCAATGACGATGAGCCTAAACCAGAACATTTCTTAACTTAATGTTTCGATGATATGCTTACCCTCCTGCAGCATGAGAAAACCCCCAGATAAAAGTTGTGCAGAGAAATAATTGAAAGTCTGTTGATACCGTACGTGATATCAAATGAAAGCATACCAGCATGAAGGCGTAAATAAGAGAGTTCATGAAAGTCTAAACTTCACTACTCTTCAGCTGAAAGTTTGTTTGCTTATTTATGAGTTTTTGCATGTAAAGACTAAAAAAATCTGAATGGATTTCACAAGCGCATCCATTCCACATGCTAAAACATTCTTTTCGCTACTTCCATTCCGTTATGCACTAAGACAATTTTTAATGGAATTATGCGAGTGTAGCCGCTTACAGTAAAATCTCCACCGTACGATGCAAAAGTTATAGCTGCCGTACCTGCATAAAGAATAGTATCTCCTTTCTGCGTCTCCGTAATATAGTGTCCTGTACTTGCTTTTTCTTTGTCTGTAGCAGATGTGACAGAAAACTCTGAACATTACTATGGAGATTAATTGAACATTTCAGTGAGTTTATTTTTAGAATTAGATTTCATGAACTTCATATCTTCATTCCCTACTGAATCACTGAATTCTAGCTACATGTTTTCTACGGAAGAACCTTTCTTGCTTTGGTTTTATGGAAAAATGGTAACCGATGCTTTCGTAACTTCTGCATTGCTAAAGCTTGATTCTTTAATAACTCCGAGTTGGACAAAGGCAACTGACTACTGAGATGAAATAAAAGAAATGTGCTCAAAACTCTATAGGTTGAAGACCCACCCATTAAAAACCAATGACAAGCGAAAACTCCGAGAAGGTAAGTCACTTTCTTGATCTACACAGTTTTTCAAAATCACAAACGTTTTTCTCGAGTTAGGAGGTCATTCTAGTACTGAGACCGTTTTGGATGGTGGTGATGAGCCGATTCGAAGAGCTATCGATGATTGCACAATTTTCGAGAGCAAAGAAAGCAGTCCAAATCGAAAAAAATTCTAAATGTGTCGCACAATTGCGTCGTATAACATTTCTTTCCAAAAGAACAAATAGGAGAGAGAGATTTTCTTGAAGTGAAATTAAATATGCAACAAGAATCTTGGGAGAGAATAAGTGCAAATTGACTCGCGAAGGAGATCGCAACTCAGAAGAGCAAGTTCTGGCGTCTGGGCCACTACTCTTGGGCAACATATAAGTTTTGGTTCATCATCTTTTTGGAAAGTACGGGTTTGAAGTTTTATAGAACTGTAATCAGGGCCCAACAAGAGTCTGTTTTCTGAGGTTTCTCAAAACGAAGTCCCCTAGGACCTATATCGAGAACCTGTCAATTCCTCAGCGGCTCTGCACGCCCCTAAGGGAGTAAACCTTGAGATTAAAAAGGAAGAAGCATAAGCCCTTTCAAATTGACGTTAGCGTGTGACAGCTAACAAAGCGGTATGCAGCCGAACATTTTTGGACGGGGATGTAGTCCATGATAGAATGACCCAAAACTGTGTAAACACAAAAATATAGACTGCTTCACACTACTCAGTCTGGTGGTCTTCTGCAGGAGAAATGATCTCGGAAATGGTATTGAGTCATATAAGTTTTGAAACTTCTCGCATATTGCTCTTACTAATAAAGACATGACTTATAATAAGCCGCTAATCTGTCAGTCTGTAAGTTGGTCTGTTACGAAATTACGGTGAGAAATGATTTACATGGTGCATGTGAGAGCTGCATAACAAGTACGTATTTTTGTGGTTACATAGCCGTCTATCGATTGAAAGGCTAATATCAATACGTGAATTTACGTAATACTTTTTATGATGGTCAGTGAGAACCTCTGCAAGTGAAAGTGAAGCACTAATATCTTGTATATGCAGTTTGAATATGGTGTTATATTTTGTCTTTGCTTTGTAAAAGTCATTTGTTTGTTCTAGTTTTGCATTCATATTGGGCGCCCTTTGTCAAAGATCACGTGGAGTATATCATATCAATATAGTAACTTGTTTCAGAAGTGCGTGCGTTTGAGTGGTCGCTCAATAATTTCTATCATTTTTTACGATATGTTCCTCGAGAAACGAAGTCTAACGCGCTTCTAGGATTTTTGCCTTAGACCCTGACTGAGCAACACAGAATATTCGACCATCATAAGTCAAGTTCTGTTGTTCAAAATCATGCTTTCACTTTACTGCCGATCTATAGATTGTTCTTCAACCAATTCTTCTGAGATGATTCTTTACGTGCGCAACGTCGACCAAAGACAAGTCAAAAAGGAAACCTATCTTCAAGTTTGTAAAACGAAATTTCAAAATTTTCTGCGTTTCTGGGCAGTTTAAGGGAAAAGGGGGGGGGGCTGCAGAATTCTCTTTAGCACGCAGCAGATTTTTAACCCGTTTTCTATGCATCTTGACCAATTTGCAAGGCGACATATTCATATTGTCGGGAATGCTTTATCTTGATTTAGAAACTTGTACTTTCACTTTCTTTGACCTTAGAAATAACGTGATACAGTTTACAGAGCAGGATGGGAGTTTTTGGAAACACATGCATATTTCACTGCATACTTCACTATTTCACAGCATAAGCTATCAAGAAGCAATTGAATAAAAACAAACTATGGATCATAATAATTTGAGTTCACCTTGGTCGTCGATCTCAGCTGCAGTAGAGTTGCAACATCAATTATACCAACGAGTAAGAATAAGCAGACGTTGTACGCCATATCGATGTAGAATGAGAGAAAGACACTGCAAGGATCGCTTCCAAACGACCAAACTCGATACTTATGATCAAAATAAAAATTGCATCCTTCTAAAAATGTAAAAATTCAAAGTAAAGGAAATCCGACAACAACTGTGTAAGAATGTAACTGACCTACAAAATAAATGGCCCAGTAAAAAGCACTGATTAGCGACACGAAGATGATAGTGATAACGGTCACCTTATCTGTGAATAATTGTCTGTATAGCGTCGGATATGAAATTGCTAAAAATCTGTAGGAAAAGCTGCGTGAATAAATCTTAACGACTGTACAAAAGGTGTTATACCTATTTATGGAGAGACACAGGCAGCAATGAAACGCAGTTTCAACAAAAAACAAAGAGAGCTGTCCAATTCGTAAATTCAAGAATTGCATCTTTTCAGGTATTGCCCTGCAACTCTTGAAATCATTTCTTGAAATTTAAATTTTTTATATTCTAGTGGGAGAAAAATGGTAATCTTGAAGCTGCTCATGTACAAATATCACTGATAACAAAGATTATTAGTATCAAATTTTGCTTACGAAATCGTCCAGGGAATAGCCCAGAATGCGAAAATAAACAAAATGGCAACGTTAGATAATACATGATAGGCAGTTAAATAGCCGAAAGAGTTACGAAATGACTTATGTCGGATGAGAACCAAAAGTGACAAAATATTAGATACCAACCCAATAACGACGACCTGAAAATAGCAAGCACAAACTTCTTTTCAATTTTTTCCAGTAACGCCAATGGCTAGCAATGTCGTGACTAATTCACCTTTGTGATAGAACATTCACTCCTAGCAAAATCTTGTATAACTGCACAAATCATTTTATACTACATATTTGAACTTACTACTAAAATAAGACCTCCTTCCACTAAGTCCACCACTGCAAAAGTGTCGCGTGACAAGTCTTCCACGGCTAAGCCTCCTGTATCATTGGTGGCGTTTATCAGCATGCTAAATATTTCGGGTATTTTTGACCATAAGGACAACGGCAATACGTAGGGCGATAACTCTTGATGGGTTGCTTGTGTTTCATACTCCGAGACTGTAGATGTGCGAAAAATTTGAGAGTCAAAGAACGCAGCAACGACTGCAGAAATTTTAGCGGGTTCTTAAGGATTCAGCAATCAGGATTGACTTTTCAATTGTTCATTTTCTTCAAAATAAAACCGATGACAATGAAAGCTGTTTTGGGCGTTAATAGCAGGTTGAGTCTAAATGGCAGTGGCATAAAGTGGCAAGTAATCTGATTCTTGAGGTGTATGTAAAATGGCCAACGCATCAAGACTGGGAACATGCAATAGTGAAAATTAAGATACGAAATGGTCAGACTGTACGTATAAGTAACATCCACAACAGAAATTATTTGATCCCCTTTTCTCATGCATTACGTGTCAACAAAAATGGCTGTGATTTGCAAGTGGGTAACAAAGATTTTGAATCAGAAAAAACGTAGACAATCAAGGTTACCCAAAGTATCTGCAAACTTATGCGAGGAAAAGATAAGCTAATTGATTATCTTTTTCTTCGAAAAATTCGCTTAACATAAGCTAGCACTAAAAACTTAATTACATTTAACGTAAGAACCTCTGCAAAAGAAAAGAGTAGTGGTTTTTAGTGTATTAACACTCTTCAGCCATTCATGAAGAGTGTACAAAGTGCATTTTTTATACGTAAGCCATCGCGGTTTTGAGGGTGGCGAAGCTTGATGAAGCAGTCAAAGTTCATTCGCGACTAATCGATTCTGTGATTGCCAAGAAGTACTGAAGTAATTTAATCAGATCAGAGAATCATTCGCAGAAATGTCGGCAAGTTAGAACTAAGTAATTTGTTGTGATGCAAATTTTCGTCCATCCTACGTATTATTTCCAGCTCTGAAAAGTTTTCACACTGTGCTCATCTTGTCCGTAATGGAGTAAGTAAGCTCGACGAATAATCTCTCATGTTTGCACGTTTTGATACTACGTTATAACGGTCTAGATGCTATATAGAGTGTAAATATATTTTTTGAGTTTCTAAAGATGTCACAATGCGATTATTTACTGGCTTATTCGCTACATAAATCTATAGGAAAATCTCAAATACTTCCTCCCACAATAGCGTCAGTTTATTTCTGAATCGATTGATTTCTACTCTGCAACACACTTCGTAACGAAAGTCCAGATCGCAAGAAGGAGTCGGAGCAGGTCTTAGTAGTGGTGGCGCTTTCACACGTTGGATGTCGTTTTTAAGGGGAACACTAACTCGTAAAGTTTCCACTTGAGCACAACTCCAACTCTTAGCAAGCCCGAATTTGGAGGTCTAACGTAAATTTACCAGCTATAATGTAGATTAATAACGTTACAAACACGACTAGTGCAAAAACCTGTGCACGAATGCATGTGCTGAACAGACAGATTTATTTGCATCATTTATTGAAGCGATATTGGCAGATTTTCTTCATAAAAGCTAACTGATTTGCTTCCGAAAAAAACGCACTTTTTTGATAGCTTGAGTGTTCAGAGAAATGCAGGGCATTATACAGTTTGTCCGGTATAAGAGACTTGCTGAACCAAATAAGCAGATATATTCAAACCAAAATGAACTTGCTATACAGATATCTCAGCCAAACAACCATCTATATGACAGCAACAAGAATCGAATCTTGTGCTAATGTTCCTTTTGGTTAGAGTAACAAGTTTTGAAACACGGATTGAAACCGCCTTCAATGGCATTGTTTTCTCTTGAATGATAGCGCAGAAACTTTGGTTTGAAATAAATACTTACACAATGCTTCTTGTCTACTAATCTCTTCTCCACTTACAGAATTACGAATTGAAGGCAAATGTCAAGAAGGCTATGACTGAAAATTTGATTTTGAATTTGAAAACTTGACATATGCACTTCACATAACCACGTTAAGAGTGAGATGGTCAGGGCTCCTTTTCAACAATTTTTTAAGAAGAAAATCCTCAGAAAATTCTTCTCTCAGAAAAAATTCAAAAATGCGCACTGGTCGTCAATAGCAGGTTGTGACCAAATTTGACAGCATGAAACTGAAAAACCATTTATGCTGTAATTTCTCTCACAGGCCTTTGACGCAAATTACAGCATAATTCAGAAATGTTTATGCATAACTACAGCATTCTATCATGAGATTACGAACGAAGTTGGTCGCGTGAAATTATGGTATGTTATTATATCTTTCGCGTAAATATGTGTTTGCATCCGCGGCAGCATAACGCATATTTATATTGCTTCGAAAAACATGTCATGTTTCACCATACAAGAGACCCAAATAGTACTTTCACGAATCAAATGAGCGTCGCTGGATCGAGGAATCGTAATCATGTATCATGGTTGCATTAGTTAAAACCTGTCGATATGTTAGAGCAGTTTCTGATACTTTATTTGGTACTTCATTTTTTGTACACAATTCTATGATATACTTGCTAGCGTCCACGGTCCAGCCCGGACGGGATTAAACTGTAGTTTGGCAACCATGGTTCGGCAAAGTACAAAAGTTTGTTTCCGCTTGCTAATAACCTACCCTCTCTTCTTAGCTGTTACTTCATCTTCACTGCCCCTTCCTTTTTCATGTTCTTGCTCGGAATCGTGCAGCCGTTTCCGTAGAGGATTTTGTCTTCCTTTCTTGCTCTCCCGCCGCGGAACACCGCATCCTCCTAGCTACGAAGAGTAGATGAAACTCACCGCCCTCTCTACGTTTCTACAGAAAATGCTTGGTCAAAACATGGAAAGCTTTCATTTTCCTACATGTAAGCAAACAAATCATTAAATCGATGGAAGGACCCAGTGAATCGTCGCGAAAAGTAGCCTATCTTCTGCGCTGCGCCTCATTTATAGGGGAGCGAATTTCAGCCTCATCGATTCACGAACAAAAGAGTCTATAAGCCACATACTTACAAACGAACAAATTTACAGAGATTGAGTTATATTTATGTACAGATTTCATTCAAAGTATTCCCGCTCTATGAGCACTCAGAGTCAGTGCAGCTCAGAAGTGACACCTTTATCATTGACCAGGAATGATCTCTAGTTTCTATCAACACCCAAAATTTTGGACAAAGTGACGAGTGGCGCAGTGATATGAGGCGCCGTTATGATCAGACTGGACCTAGGTTCTATCCCCGCCCCTGGGCCAACCAAGCCCTCTATTTTCCGGGGCCGGTAAATTGCCAGATTAATCTGGGAGGATAAAAACACTGACTTGATGAACGACTGGCCCCCGCAAGTCATTGTAAAAGGCCTGAACGCATTCATCTACCTCCTCGACTACGATATAAAATGCGTTTGAAGCACGCGCGCAAAGAATATTGAAGACTCCTAATCCTTTGTCCTTTATCTCGTATCCAAAATTTTGGATCAAGTGCCTTAGTTCTATTAGGTTGTAAAGAAAATTCCCGGCACTTTTGGAAATTTCATTTTCAAACGCATTTTTTCGGCGCTCGGTCGGACTTTGACACCAAGTTTTTTATACTGTTCAGTAGGGGGAAGCCTGAAGTTTTTAACAAGCCTTCTGACTTTTGTCGATGTCAAGACGTGTTTGATCTGCACGTCAAGAAGAGAAATCTTTCCAACCACACAAATTTCACAATTTTTTTTCCTACGGCCATTTTTTTACGCAATTCAAAGAATTTCGTCCAAATCATGGGTGATATCGCGGAGCGATCGCAAAAATGTAAGCAAATCGCGCGAGCCTGGGAACGGCCGGCATGATATGCTGCCTGACCGCGTATCATGCCGCGATCTAGCAACAAGCGAGAAACGGTACTAAAAGGGCATGATGGAGCTGAGGGAACATTCTTGCCTCTGTACGCTGCTCGAAGTCGACCGGCTCACGCTTCGCCGAACTTCCACGCGTTAAGGGTTAGCGTTTTCCGATAAACGAATACGCTAATCTGTGTGTCAACCAATATATGGTGCATCGGCTAAAATGGAAACAGGTAAGATTCAATTGCTAAGCTTTGCATGCAATTCCGCCTTGCTTATTGCACCGTAGTACTTGGAATCATTACAACCGCGTTTTTGGCCTAACTATTCACACGCGGTCCTGAACACTCAATTCACTCGGTCATTAGCGAGCATTCAATTTGTACGCTGACTTATCCTTTATTGTACAAGTATCATTTTTCACGCCAATTACGCTTTTCTGAGGAATGGCTGGGCCCTTTGCATTAAAATCTCAGAAAGCGCTTCTAACTCGCTTCTGCAATAACTTGAACAATGTGATATCGCGCTATGAGGGGGATGTTTCCTTGCAAGAAGATTCCTTTGAACGCTTATCACTTATTGTATGTGAATTGAAAGGGACTTCCAAATTAGTCTTAGAGCATCTCGGTAAATTCGCAAACATGGTAGACGCGCTAGCTGACTCATTGACCGAGGAACAAGAAGCGCAAGCGTTTGAGTACATGGAAAAAACACAGACTGCCATTGATCGCGCAGAAATGCTTATAATACAACTTGACGCACGAAATGCAACAACAAGTGAGCGCGGGCAGTCAGCGTACTTCGCGGGACAACGGCAACAATCAGGGAATGGGGGGCAGTTGGAAATGGCAAAAGCAACGCTCCCTGCTATTCCCATCCCCACTTTTAACGGGAAAGTGTGGGAATTCAGTAATTTTTGGACCCTGTTTGAAGCGAGCGTTCATACTCAACCGCTTTCAAAGCTCCAAAAATTTAATTACTTAGTAAACGCATTGCGCGGAGAGCCACGCGATCTGATAAGGCGCTGTGCGGTTACGGACGAAAACTACGATAACGCGGTGGAACTACTGCGCAAAAAAGTACGGTAATGAGTCGCAACTTATCGCGATACTACAGATGCGACTCGAACATGCGAGGGCCGATCAAGGGACGATAACAGCGCAAAGAAAACTGCTGGAAACCCTACATCCCATCGTAACGCAGCTAGAAAAGCTAGGGGTTTGCTTACATGGTTCTTTTCTCGCACAAAAGGTGCTATCGAAGTTTACGGCCAAACTTCAACGCAAGGTTCTGGAACGTCAAATGTCTCGGGAAAGAGGAGAACAAGACTGGAAACTCCAGAACATCATTGCGGACTTGGACTCACTGATAAGCATGGAGGAGCGAGTCAATGACATGGTTAGCAGGAATACCAGTCACGTCACCGTCAGGGAAGACGAAGCTCAGCAACGTCGAAACGCCATACGCGGATCATCAAAACCCACATCCTGCATATTCTGTGGTACCATAGGTCACATCGGTCAACTGCAGGGTTTACGACACGATGGAAATACGTCGTAAACTAATGCAAGAAAGACAGTTATGTCTAAAATGTGGAGGAAAGGACCACTACGCCAGAGACTGTACCGTTGAAGGATGTAGGAATTGCCCAGGAAAAAGGCATCATTACAAATTTGCCCAAGACGCTTTTCGAAAGCAATTGGCAACAAGGATCTAGAACGAAGACAAGCCTCGCAGCAGCAATCCCGCACGCCACCGGTTAGGAAGACTGAAAGCACTAAACAACAAAGAGGCAAACAAACACGGGCACACCCAGTTAGCACCGAGATCCCAGAAGAGAACCACGAGGAACTGGGAGAAACGCAGGAACCTAGGACCATTCTTCACGCCGAGGAAAAGGGAACGCTCGGAAGAGATGGTTCAGTACTACTTCTCACAGGCTCAGCAAGAATCTACAACACTGCTGGCAAGGAATGGACTGACGTCTAGATACTTTTCGACACGGGGGCAGATCAGTCCTTCATCAGTGCAAGCTTAGCAAACAAGCTCAACCTGGAAAGCATAGGGACAGAAAGCTTGCAGATGTTTACATTCGGTTCACATGAAGCAAAGCCAACAGTGTGTGAGATGACGCAGCTCGAGCTCTGGGATAAGGAAGGGAAAAATCATAATGTGCGGTTATACACTATACCCGTACTTACAGAAAAGGGGAAAAAGGTGACATTGAGCAACGAAGGCTTACAGTTTTTGGAAACGCATCGAATACCTCTCTCCACCACAAACCAAGTAAGAGAGTCCAACCCACAGATCTTGCTCGGTTGCGACCAACTCTGGAACTTCTTGGAAGTTGTATCACCAAGATTCACGCTTCCATCTGGTCTATTGCTCATTCCTTCCAAATTGGGCTACCTAATCACAGGGGAAGCAACAAATACCCGAGAATGCTGCGAAGAAAAGACGAAAGGCTTGTTCGACTTCTCCTTCTACGGTACGAGTATTCACCAACCTCAGTGAAAGCCTCGACGAAGATAGAGAACGCTGGGACAAATATTGGACCATAGACTCCTCGGAAATTTGCGAGTTCACAGGAACAAAGAACGAAGAAAAGATTGCCACGCAAGAAAAGGTGGAAAACTTCTTCAATTCAACAATCAAGAAGCGCAATGACGGATATTATGTGCGCTTACCATTCGAAGAATCACATCCACCGTTACCCACCAATAAAGCTATAGCAATGAAACGCTTGGGTCGCATATTAGAAGCCCTGAAAACAGACACAAATGTGCTTCAAAACTACGCGGACATCATCAAAGAACAAAAACGGAAGGGCATTATTGAAGTGGTCCCAGACGACCAACTTCAGCAAGGAAACCATTTACACTATATCCCTCATCAACCCATGATAACGCCGCATAAGGAAACCACCAAGCTGCGCATCGTATTTGACGCTTCCTCACACTTCAAAAACAGTCCGTCCTTGAATGACGTATTCCATCAAGGGCCAAGTATGCTTCCAGAGTTATTTGGTTGTTGATACGCTTTCGCGCAGCAAAGTATGTAGCGACAGCCGACATCGAAAAGGCATTTTTGCAAGTCCACCTTAATGAGATCGACAGAGACGCTACGAGATTTCTATGGGTTCACGACGTTAACCTCCCTCCGGAAGGAGATAATATTGTCACTTATTGCTTTACAAGGGTAACGTTTGGTCTGGATGTCTCTCTGTATTTACTAGCGGGAACAATACGCTATCACATGCAGCAGCAAGAAACAAACGAGGCCCTCGCAAGTGACATACGCGATAATCTTTATGTGGATAATCTAATCCTTCCGGCGATACAGAAGATGAACTCCAAGAAAAAGCCCAAGCTTCAAGACGATTCTTTGAGGATATGGGAATGAACCTACGCGAATATCTCTCGAATACCCATACACTGGAAAAGGTCTTGAATAAGGAAATTTGCGCAACGAAACGTATCCAAAAGGTATTGGGTGTCACATGGAACGCGGATGAGGACAACTTGATCATCAACTGTACGATACCGCCCTCGAATTCAGTAACGAAACGCAGTGTCGCACGCCAAATAGCATCAGTCTATGATCCTTTAGGATGGCTAGATCCATTGATGATCAAGCTGAAAGTATTCCAACAAAATCTGCGGAAAATCCCCCGAGAGTGGGATGACCTCATTGATGAAAAATTACGCGAAGAATGGGTTCAGCTTGAGAAAGGTGTAGATGGTTACGAAAACTCAATCCCCAGAAGGTTAACGTTAGGGATGCAACTTATCATCTCGCTGTATTCGCTGACGCAAGCGAAATAGCCGTGACAGTATGCGCTTATGTTTTCAACGAACAGTTGTTTTCAACAAGCAAGAGAGCCACGTACAATTCAAATACGTGACAACGGAAGAAAATCCCGCCGATTTAGGCACTCGAGGAACAAATTCGGAAGGAATGGATAGCGACATGTGGTGGCATGGGTCACATTTCCTGCGCAAACCTCTGGCTGAATGGACGAAACCAAATTATATGCTGTATGAAGAAGAAAATCGAGTTAAAGTAACAGCAACAGTGTCGCGAAAAAGAACCATCGCAAACACATCAAACCAACAGCCTTGGGATCTTTCGAGGTTCTCAACATTAAGAAAAGCAATACGCACGGTTGCAATAGTGCTGATCTTCATCAAAAAATTATCACGAAAGCATCCGGAGAAGCGCGGGAAAAATATCACTGAATTGAAAGATTTACAAGATTTACCCATTCCCGCGACAGCTCAATCCAAACGAGCAGCGCGAAGGGCGATCATACGCTACCACCAAGAAATTTACTCTCAAAGGAATACAGAAAATCAATGGAAAATACGCTGCACCTATTCCAAGATCGCCTACACATATGGCGTTCGAAAGGGAGATTGGAGATGTCATCCTTAGAAGAAGACGCGAAAAACCCGATAATCATAGCGCCAAGGACGGCACTGGCAAATCTGATCATTCGCGAAGCCCACCGAAATTATCACAATGGAGTAGCACACACGATGGCTAACGTCAGAGCGCAGTATTGGATCCCGCAATTACGTCAACAAGTGAGACACCTGATCCATGACTGCGTTAACTGTAGGAGATTCAACGCATTGCCATATCACTATCCGGACTCTACGAACATACCAGAAAGAAGAGTTCAAAGAGGACGGCCTTTTCAACACATTGGACTCGACTTCTTTGACCTCCCCTCGGTAGATGAAAACAAAAGCTCCAAAATCTATGGATGCATCTTTACTTGCGCAGTTACACGCTTAATCCACTTGGAGTTGGTAGCCAGTATGAGCACCGAAGATTTCCTGAACGCGTTAAGACGATTTATAGCGCGCAGGGGCATTCCGGAATCGATCACTTGTGACAACGCTCCGACTTTTCTCTTGAAGTGAGCAGATCCTTAAAGACGCTATAGCTCGAGAGATTACCGATCTTGAAATTGATTGGCACCACATCACGCCTTACGCCCCATGGCAAGGCGCGTTTTATGAACGTCTTATAAAATCAATCAAAAGTCGCTGTACAAGGCCACAAGAGAGGTGATCATACGTTCCTACGACCAAGTGGTGACGATAATGGCGAAAATAGAGGCCTGCCTGAACTCACGTCCGCTAACATATCAAGAGGTCAAGCCGGACACGCTTGGAATGATCCGCCCAATCGACTTCTTACAGAAGGACTGGGTTGTAACCCTTCCACTATGCGTACACCCGTTAACGGACGATGATCCGGATTACTTACCACCCCCCGAGTTAAGAACTTTACAAACACGGAAGCAGGTAGAAGAAGCGCTCACGTCATCGTGTAAATTGCTGGAACGCTTTTGGAAGGTATGGCAGCAACATTATCTGACCAGCCTACGTGAGAAACAACTGAAGAACATTGTAAAGCGGAGGCAAGGAACAGAGGTGCCGGCGGTTGGTTCGGTAGTATTGGTGAGTGACCCAGTGCTCCCTAGAAACTCGCGGAAACTAGCGCGAATCACGGAAATTCACCAGGGAGTAGATGGAAAGATTCGCGAAGTTGAACTTACCACGAACAAGCGTAAAATTCGACGCCCAGTCAACCTTCTCGTCCCGCTAGAAATTGAGGAAGAGGACAAACCAACAACGCAGAAAGCACCAGTTGAAACAGTAAGTGACCAGAAGGAAAAGGTGTCTCCCCGTTATGACCTTCGGCCACGCAAGCAACAAGTACGTTGAGAATACTCTGATCAACCAGAGATCGAATCTGATTAAGAATTCACGCACAAAATGGTTCCTCTTCTATGTCATGATCTTGACCATACTCTCACCCACAACGCAGAAACGTTCGCATTCCATCATGTTCAGTTGTACGCCCAATGGAGTATTCCTTCATGCGGTTATAAACGAGTCATTCCAAATTTGCGCGGACAACTATTGCAAAACACAAAATCAAGGAGCTCAGTCGCAAATGATACGCTTTCCGGCAGAAATAACATTCCATGACCACGTGGTTATGTTGAAGTGGAAAAAAGGTGGACATACAGAGACGATAAGTACAATCTGTAAAGGGCTTGATTTCTGTGAAAATGTAGACTGCTGGTTTTGCTCTACGAGTTTACTAAACCCTGAGTGCTGGCCCCAGGGCTCAGCACAGCTGGCACCGGGTCAAGCTGGGTATCGTTTTTAGGGCGGAAAGCAAAGGGGTTATCGTTTCTACAGGGGCCGAGGCGGAGAACTGCCGCAAAAATGCCGCCGGCATGCCACCGGCATGCCATTGGCAAGCTGTCCATCAGCAAACAAAGGCGTTGTTTTCAGCCAAAACGCGATAGTATGACACCAAATTTGGTGTGTGCATGCGCGTTGGTGGACCGGAACTATGGGCCAAAAATTTATGAAAACTTATGTGAATGAAAGCTGTGCCCAACTTTTTTCTGAATTAGCTGGCACCGTGCCAGCTGGGTGCCAGCTGAGCTGGCACCGACACTTTGCTCACATAAGTTTTCATACTTTTTTACATAAAATGTATCTACACTGTAAAAGATTACATATGGAGAAGAAACAGTTTCATAATGTTTTCTTTTCAGCGTTTTATAGCAATTTGAAAACCACTCGGTCCGCTCCGCAGTTGAAAAATCGGCTTTTTCTGCTTCTCAAGATGTGATTCGACCACTTAAAAGCTCAGAAAGCTGTGAAAACTTCTTTCATGAAATCAGAAATGCATGAAAACACTACTACATTTCTTACATAATATAAAAATGATGACGGCTTTTCAAAACAGGTCAAAAGGGACTTCGTACGAAATTTTCAATATCAAACTGGACTTCGTTTTGAAATTACCCTGGTGCCAGCTCGTGCCGAGCCCTGGCTGGCCCTAATGGGGAGAGTCAAAGCGGTCGCTTACTACTGCCTATGGGAAATCCACAAGTTATCCTCGAAAAGAAGGAGAACGAGAAGTGCACGAATGACAACTGCGCTAGCTATCCTACT